CTCTACCTCAACCTGAGTCTTTCTAGTGCCAGACAAAGTGAACAAAAAACTTTGGAAGTAAAAAAATCTAAAGTCTGGCAGTTTGCTTATATTTATGTTTTTAAAGTTACTGCTTTTCCATTTTCAACTGTTTCAGCTGTTTTCAGCGTACTAGCTGTACTTAATAAAGAGATCAACCATTACTTACTTATAAACAAAGCATAACATTTTAGCTAAAAGTTGAGAAAAATACCTACTAGTTGAGACATTAGTGTTACTATTTTGTTAAAACATTTTTTTTTCTCATACAAACATGTAGTGAAGTTTTAAATTCTTAAAAGTACTTCTGTTATAATATTTGAAGTACCATTTGTTTAAGGTGCTGTATACCTCCTATTTAAAAAAATTGTATTTTGGAAACCTTCAAATATACAAGGTAGACAAACTAGTATAATGAACTCCTAGGTAGCCATCATCGAGCTTCAGCAGTTACTAACTCTGGGCTAATCTTGGTTCACTGATCTGCCCCATTTCCATTTTTTCTCTTCTGTGTGAAACTAAGCAGGTGTCAGATATACCATTTTATTTGTAAATATTTCAGTATGGTATTCTAAAAGATAAAAACACTTTAAAATGTAGTAACCATAATTTAATTATCATACCTGAAACTTAAAGTTAATTCTAAATATTACTAAATAATTAATGTTCAATTTGCCAATGGTTTCTCATAAGGCTTCTTTTTGCATTTGTTTGAGTCAGGGTCCAAATGGTGTCCTTTATTCTTATTAATATGTATTTTGCTACGTATTGCTGATGGGGTCTTGGTGGTATAGTTTAACATGTCCTTATCTCCTGTGTGTTTTTTATAAAGTGGTAGCGTCTAGAGACTTAATCAAATTCAGATTTCCTTCCTTCTTTCCTTCCTTCCTTTCTCCCTGTCTCTCACCTCCGCTTCTCTTTCTTTTCCTCCCTTTGTTTTCCCCATCCTCCTCACTTCCTAATACATGAATGGTATTTCTTCTCTCAGGAGACATATGTGGTGGTTTTTCTTTTTTTGATACTAGTAGCTGTTTTGCTTCCATACTTGAATTCATTAGGAGTTGCACAGGATGATATTTTAATTGCCGCTTTATATTGATTTATTATCTGGAATGAGTCTACAAAGAAAAACTCCCCCTCATGTACTATTTGTTTAGCTAATTGTATAGTTTATATGAAAGAGTTTGGATAAATGCTTCATTCTTTATTCCTTTCTGAATTTTCATTTTTATTTTTTTAATTTAAAAGATTTATTTTTTTATTTTTATTTTTAAATATAATTTATTGCCAAGTTAGCTAACATAAAGTGTTTACAGTGTGCTCTTGGCTTCAGGAGTAGATTCCCATGATTCATCGTTTATATACAATATCCAGCGCTCATCCCAACAAGTACCCTCCTCAATGCCCATCACCTGTTTTCCTCCTCGCCCCACCATTAACCCTCAGTTTGTTCTCTGTATTTAAGAGTCTCTTATGGTTTGCCTCCCTCTCTGTTTGAAACTATCTTTTTCTCCTCCTCTTGCCCCATGGTCTTCTGTTCAGCTTCTCAAATTCCACATATGAGTGAAAACATGATATCTTTCTCTGACTGACTTATTTCACTTAGCATCATACCCTCCAGTTCCATCCATGTTGCTGCAAATGTAAGATTCATTCTCATTGCCAAGTAGTACTCCATTGTATATATATATACCACATCTTCTTTATCCATTCATCAGTTGATGGGCATTTAGGCTCTTTCCATAATTTGTCTGTTGTTGATAGCACTGCTATAAACGTTGGGGTACATGTGCCCCTATGAATCAGCACTCCTGTATCCTTTGGATAAATTCCTAGTAAATTTCAGAGTTTGTGATAGTAGGAGTCATTGGGGAAATTTTGACATATTTAAGCAAAGCATCTGGAGAATATAGAATAGTTATAGAACCAAATCCTAAACATGAATTGATAAACTAGCAAAAATGGAAAATTGGTTTTGAAGGAATATGAAAGTGTTAATGATTATAGCTGTTTTTAAAAAATGTTTATTTATTTATTTTGAGAGAGAGAGCATGCATGAGCTAGAGTGAACAGGGGAGGGAGCAGAGAGAGAGAGGGATAGAGAGAATCCCAAGCAGGCTCTGCTCTGTCAGCACAGAGCCTGATGTGGGCCTTGAACTCATGAACTTGAGATCTTGAGCCAAAAGCAAAAGTCAGTTGCTTAAGTAACTGAGCCACCTAGGTGCCCCGATACTAGCTCTTTTTAAAGCAAACAATGTGTGGTACTTTGAGAAGTACACCTTCTACAAGAGAGTATATCTTTATGTGTTTAGTACACTCTTAGGTATGCAGTGATGAAAAGCATGGATTCTGAAGCCAAATTTCCTGTATTTTAATTTTGGCTCTTTACTTACTGGTGTAACTTTGGGCAAGTTATTTACAGTCTGCATGCCTCCATTTTCTTAATTTTAAAACAGGATAATAATAGAGCCTTCATCATAGGGTTGTTGTTGAGAACTGAATGTGTTCATACATGTTAGGCCCTTATAGCTGAGAACACAATAAATTCTCAGTAAATATTAACTGATCCTCTTGTCAATAGTTTTCTTTGCTATTATAGTGGAAAGGAGGGAGGGAATTTCTGATACTTATCTTTTTTTTTATTTTTTTTTTTTTAAATTTTTTTTTTTCAACGTTTATTTATTTTTGGGACAGAGAGAGACAGAGCATGAACAGGGGAGGGGCAGAGAGAGGGAGACATAGAATCGGAAACAGGCTCCAGGCTCTGAGCCATCAGCCCAGAGCCTGACGCGGGGCTCGAACTCACAGACCGTGAGATCGTGACCTGGCTGAAGTCGGACGCTTAACCGACTGCGCCACCCAGGCGCCCCTCTGATACTTATCTTTAATCCATGTCATAGTTTTACTTTTGATATTTTTTTCTCATCCATTTTATATATTCCAGCCTTCTTGAAGTCACACTTATGACCCTTACTGAATTAAAGTGTCTAGGCATTGCACATCATTGTGCAATAATGTTGCACGTTGGTAACATCATAAAAAGAGAAACAACCAAATATCATATGTCTCTTGCTTATACCTCTGTTACACATCTAAATAGTATTAAAATTTAATTATATATATGGTGGTGTTTTCTACTGAACTGTGAACCTTATGAGGGGAGAGACTGTTTAATATAGTGCTTGGTTTTAGTTATGAGGCCAAAGTCCCTAATATTTGCTCATTTAACTACATTAACATTTCATTTATCAGGTTTGCCTAATAATATGCTTTCCAAGTTCAAAATAAGTGCATTTCCTAGCTATATACTTCAGAGTTAATACTGAAGTATATTATAATTCTGTATATATAATTCTGTAAATATTAGAATTTTATTTATTTTTAAACTGTTAAGTTGGTAATTTTTCTTCTAAGTATCAAGTCCTTTTTAGTCTTCTTAAACAGATTGTTACTTATTACTATGCATACTATTTATTTGGATCGTAATATAGTGTATCCTTGAAATTAATGTATTCATGGGTTCTATGTCAAATATTCTAAGGATGCCTTATACAGTTTTTCTTCCCATTGTGTCATAATCTCTCATTACAATCTACCAATTTCTTTCTGCTGTTGTTTCTTTCTGTTAACCTCTAGCAGTCCTAGCTCCCCAAATTCAGATTTAATGCTTCTGATCAATGCTTCTCCCTGCTGTGGATTGATTTGACTACCAAGTTCATTAGAACTTTTTCTACAATAAGATTTTAAAAGATCTAAACTGAGCTTCAGGGCATCTTCTCAGAGTCAAATGCAGAAATTTAGCACGTAGATGATGTGGCATCTATTTCACTAGCCATGTAACTTTTTAATTTACTCTTTGACATTGCTGAGGTTGTCATTTATGTGTGGCCTCTAGGCAAGTGAGATTATATTATATTAGGATATGAACAGAAGAATGAGGTGCTGATCTTCAGTGTTTCCATGCTGATACAGAGTTGGGATTTCTGTTCGAACTCCTGTACTCCAAAGTCCGTTTTCATTGCTCTTAGAGTCACATGTCAAAAAAGTCCATACTTGAATTATTATAGTTCTTGAACATTATATGATATTACTGATTGTTTTTTATTTACAGCACGAACTCTCTGTCTTATTTAACTTAAAAAATGTTTTTAGTTGTTTTTGAGAGAGAAAGAAAGAGACAGAGCGTGAGCGGGGGAGGTGCAGAGAGAGGGAGACACAGAATCCAAAGCAGGCTCCAGGCTCTGAGCTGTCAGCACAGAGCCTAACAGGGGGCTCAAACCCAAGGACTGTGAGGTCATGACTTGAGGCGAAGTCAGACACCTAACCGCCTGAGCCACCCAGGTGTCCCATGTCTTATTATTTAACTTAAAATTTTTTTTCACACATATGGATTGGTTAAATATCTGATGGATAGGTGCCTGTTGAAGATATATATTATTATATATCAGTTATTATCAGTGAGATTAATATCCGCGATATTATCAGTTACACAGATATAAGTCATTTGATAACATGCCCTTACAATGTTGGGGTGTGCATTTTAAATGTTTGTTTATAGACCTTGAGCTGAATATATAGGTCCAACTATATATAGGAAAAAATTGAATATGCCTAATCTACATATAGTTTGTAAACTGCTAGGAAAATGTTAAAAGTTGCAAAATAAAGTACCTCTGAGGCATTTGGTCCATTCAAATCCTAGTGTAATAAGTCTTAGAATTGTAGTTTGTTTGGAAGTTAGTACTTCTCAGAGTTACTGCAATGCAGGACTAAATCAGAGGGCGTGTTAATATGCCCATCCCAATATTTGATCCCTTATTATTTCTTTCTTTTTTATCTTTTCCATCCATATAATTTTTCACTACATAAAGAGAACAAAAAATTTAAAAGAGAACATACCTGTTTTACGCAAAAACGACTGCTGCTTTCATACTGTGCTTCAAAGTGGAATTTAATATGTATTCACTTATTTCTATGTACAGGTCATCTTTAACACAGCTCTCGTTGGACTGAAGTGGAAAAATGAGAATTGGAGCATATTTTCATTTTTGAGGTGAGTCCACTTGTAGAGAGATGAGTGTATTTCAAGCTGTCGGCTGTTTCTCAGGAAATTTTGACATTTGCATGTGCTCTGAGAAACACTATAGTTACACATGAAGTGCTGAGCGTGAGCCTGAGAGTCCCGGGCTGCATCTAGGGCTTGCCCCTGCCTTCGTGCCCAGTCCTGCTGCAGGGGCCCTTGGTGTGGTGCCCTGCTTACTTGACTTCTTTGTGTCAGTTTGCCTGGTTTTTTTTTGTTTTTTTTTTTTAATTTTTTTTTTAACGTTTATTCATTTTTTTGGGACAGAGAGAGACAGAGCATGAACGGGGGAGGGGCAGAGAGAGAGGGAGCCACAGAATCAGAAACAGGCTCAGGCTCTGAGCCATCAGCCCAGAGCCCGACGCGGGGCTCGAACTCACGGACCGCGAGATCGTGACCTGGCTGAAGTCGGACGCTCAACCGACTGCGCCACCCAAGCGCCCCAGTTTGCCTGTTTTTAAAAGAAGGATGGTGGGACTGTTGACTCGGCTTACCTTCCAGATTACATGTTTTGAAAATAAATTGAGATCATGGATATGTAAGTGTTTCATTAAGAAAAATGTTAGGTAGAGGTATTAAAACTGTCAACTGTCAGTAAGTTCAATGGGTCTTAACAGTTATATGCATAGAATCTTTTTGAGTATGAAATTTTTGCATGTTACTGTAGCCTACTAGCAGCAGAACGATAGGAAGACCGTGCTGTCTTCTATATTATTTCTGAGAAAACTGGCAAGCACAAAAAGAAGAGGGGAAAGTAAGAGGAGGAAGAAGCAGCAGAGGAAAACAAAACCACTTGGGTGGCTTTGAAAGTACTGGCATTTTTAGAATTAAAAATTTCTTTATTTACTGGGATGTTTTTGAAGGAATTGTTAATCTGTGGATTACTAAATGCATTTTCTTTGTGTGTTTGTGTGTGAAACAAAGTATTATTAATAATAGTTCAGATGTACTGAATTGTTCACTTTAAAAGGGTGAGTTTTGGGGCGCCTGGGTGGCTCAGGTCATGATCTCAAGGTTCGTGAGTTCAAGCCCAGCGTCAGGCTCTGTGCTGATGGCTCAGAGCCTGGAACCTGTTTCAGATTCTGTGTCTCCCTCTCTCCCTGACCCTCCCCCGTTCATGCTGTCTCTCTCTGTCTCAAAAATAAATAAACGTTAAAAAAAAATTTTTTTTTGGGGCGCCTGGGTGGCACAGTCGATTAAGCGTCCGACTTCAGCCAGGTCACGATCTCGCGGTCCGTGAGTTCGAGCCCCGCGTCAGGCTCTGGGCTGATGGCTCAGAGCCTGGAGCCTGTTTCCGATTCTGTGTCTCCCTCTCTCTCTGCCCCTCCCCCGTTCATGCTCTGTCTCTCTCTGTCCCAAAAATAAAAATTAAAAAAAAAAAAAATTTTTTTTAAAGGGTGAGTTTTATGGTATGCAAATTATATCTCAATATTTAAATGCATTTTCTATTAAAAACCTGTACACATTATTTTCAATATTTTTATATTCTGTATTTTACATTCTTGATGTGGGGGAAAAAAATCTAGTTCCGATTTTTCTCTTCCTTGGGGTTTTAGCCATTCATCTGGATACCCTGGTGTAGGTGATCTGAGGCTTGCTTGAGTAATACTGAGTGGGTGTTTCTTTTAGCTTCATAAATTTGTTTGTTTTGTTTGTCTTCTTAACTTCCTTTATTTCTCTTGTTTTTCTTCAACTCACCCGGCACAGGTCATGTCTTTATCTCTTTTTGGGCTTAGGATTTGCACATAACCTTTTATTCTGGGTGTCCCAAATTGTATCCTGAAGCTTTTTAAAGGTGCCAGGATACTATTTAGCAATTGTGGTTACGATATTTCTTCCTAGTAACTATGTTTTAAGAGTATTTCCTTATATCTTGGGAGAGAAATACCGGTCAGATGGTAGTAAAATTAACCGTCTTCCTGCACTCTGTCTTCAGATATTATGGATTCTAGTGCAGTGGCTGTTGCTGTAGCTAGATGATTTGGTTATCTTTTGTCTAACATTGCAGTTGCTGACTCTCTCTGTGTCTTAGTCCAGAAGAAAATGTTAAATTTTTCTCATACAATGTACTTACTCAGTTCCTTGTTGAGTGACTGCGGGGGCGGTGTTCAAGGTCCCTCACAGCCATCAGCCACCTGTCTTTTAATCTTCAATCCGGTTTCAACAGTTTTAATTCTCTTGCTCTAACCTCTAATTTATTGCTTGGCTGAGTCATCTAGCAACTACTTTTGTGTTCTCTTAATACAATTGCCAGTTATATTCTTTTGTATTTTTAAGAAATGTTGTTTGTGACTTACTAAACAACTGGCTTATTTAGTTCCACCTAAAAGTCATTTCTTTGGTTTCCCCCAAAAAAGTAGTTGACCAGTCTAAAGAAACATAATTGTAGAGGGGTTTTACCAATTGCCTTTTTATCTAGATAGTGTGTGTAGGCTGTAGGAAGAAAGCCTGTTCACAGCTTTCACCATCCAACACTTGTAAAATTTAGGACATGTAGTCTCTTGAACCTCAAATTTTATAGTTGTAAAGTAGGTATAGTGTTACTGACATCATAGAATTGTAAGGATTGAGTTGAGATAGCATACAGAAAGTGCCCAATACAGTATGGAGCACAAATTTGTACTTAGGTAGTTATTGTCATTGCTGATTCATCCTCTTCCTGCAATTTATCATCATTGTCATGGTTGTGAGATGAAGCCCAAAAGGAGTTTTGTACCAGTGAGCTCCAGGCACAATGCAGTATTGATAAAAGTCTGCTGTTGAAATTGTGTGTAGATACAGATTCTTTGATACACCCTTCGTCTTCGTTACCATGAGAAGGTCCAAGCCTAGAGGTAGATCAGCATGTGTAAGATTACTAAAGACTTACAGAAATGGGTTAATTGGTAGCTAATGAGCTGTTTCTGAGAATAGCACTAGAGTTTTAGGAAATACACAGTTTCACTTCAGACTTAGCCCTTGGAAGTAAGCAGTTATTTAAACTGTTTACCTTTGCAGAAACAATACACTAAAAGTATTAACCACTTAAAAATTTTACCTTTTTCAGTATGTGTTTCTGTTTTTTTTTGATATGATGAAAAAATTCAGCTACAAAATCAGATTTTAAAGAACAGACATATATAGCAATTAATCATTCAGCTTTCTTTTGCCTGCATACAGGCACACCTTATTTTCTTTCATTTTAGAGTGTGAGCATACAAGATGTCGGGATTAGATAACAGCACATCAGGTGGCTTCTTGCTATCAGTTTGGGGATGATTGAAATTACTGATACATAAAATGCAGTGAAATCTTTTTATGCAAGAATACCAGAAAAAAAGATGTTTCTATTTGGAAAATACCCTAGCTCTTTGAATCTTTGGTGTGAGGTTTGCATGAGGTGAGAAAGACCTGAGTGTGTGAAACATTTAAAATGGTGAAAAGTTTGTTTTAAAGTTTTATATTCTGAATTTAACTCTTAAAACTCTTTTGAAAAGGAAATGAATATTTCCAAGATGACAAAGATTCTGTGCAGGGGATTTGATTAAATCAACAAAAAATTGGGGTAACAAGATTATTCTATCCGAAAAGGATTTATTTCCAGATGATATAAAGACAGGCTTTTAAGATACCATAAGATATATTGTTGACTGAACTTTCTGCCTGAGATGCATTTCTGAAATGAGTAAATGGAATATTTAAATGTCCTATGTAAACTTGTCATTTGTGAATCCATTTTTGAAGCAATACTTAACGTCTAATAGACCTTTTGTGCAATTAAAGATTTTCTTAAAAAAAGACTCTCTTATTTACATGGAGATAAGGGAGGTGATACTGTTTGTCTGTATTTTTGTCGTTATATGGGAAACGTAGTTATTTTCTGAGGAGGGGTGAAGGCAAGGAGGAGCGTGCTCTATTATAACTTGAGAATGTGGTCACTATGGGGAATATGGTGTGGAGTCCACCACAGTCAGAGACCAACTAAGACTGATACAGATTTATAGTGTTATCAAGTTTATAATTCTCCTTAGTAAACCAGGAAGCAAATGTAAAGAAGGTTGAGTAGTACTAGGCCACAATGAAGATAAAGTCTCTGCCCTCAAAAACTTCATAGTTTCCTTTACAAAATAGAATGTTCTGTCTTAAAGTCCCCGAGTTTCTAGGCTCCCTGTAGACATGAACAACCTAGTTCCAGTGTATCCTATTGAATCTCTATTTTTTTGATCATCTCCAAGTACCTAGCTCAGTGTTTGGAATGTGCACTGATTAAATTAAACTGGCAATATGGAATCAAATGCTAAAGGGAAAGGCTGTGCTGTTATTCTTTTTATTTTTTTTTTATTTTTGAGAGAGTGAGAGAGGCAGAGAGAGAGGCAGACAGAGGATCTGAAGCAGGCTCTGTGCCATTAGCCCAGAGCCCAATGCAGGCCTTGAACCCATGAACCAGGAGATCATGACCTGAGCTGAAGTTGGATGTTTAACCAACTGAGCCACTCAGGCACCTCTGTGCTTTTATTCTTAATAGTGGCTAACATGATGTAGCTCACCTTTAGAGGAATCACACTGGTCTTCTCCTCAAAAACCATGTAAGCAAGAAAAGAATATAAAGTGAAATACTTAAAGTTATGGGAAAACCATGGAGTGCGTGGTTGGCCCAGTCGGTGATGCATCTAACTCGATCGCAGCTCAGGTCTTGATCTCAGGGTTGTGAGTTCAAGCCCCGCATTGCACTCCATGCTGGGCATGAAGGCTACTTTAAAAACAAAACAAAAGCGTTATAGGAAAACCAAATCCAAACCACCAGTCTAGAATTCTGTATCCAGGAAAATTATCCTTCAAAAATGGAGACATAAAGACCTTCTGAGACAAAACAAGGACAACACTGCACTGGGAATTTGTCACCAGTACACTTGCCTTGAAAGAAATGTTAAAAGAAATATGATTTGTAAACATTCTAGTCTGTGGCTTGTCTTTTTATGTTTTTGTGTTTTTTA